TTCTTCGAAAATGTAAAAAATAAAATGAAATTCTTTTCATTTGTGAAAGGTAAAATTATTATGCCGCTTTCATAAAGGCATTTGAATTGAATTCTTTAAAGATAGTCTTTAAAATTACATATATTCTTTCAAAAATTCTTCTTAGTCCTTTTATCATAGTGGAATAGCCAATACTTCACAGAAATTAGATTAAACCTGAATTATTACCACTGTTAAGTTAAACTACTCAAAAAGTCAATAGTTTAATTAAAGGGTTAAAGTATATCAAAGCAAAATAATGCAATAATACAATTGCCTTAATTATTATTCCCTTTTCTTAGGAATAAAAGTAACTTAATAAAAAGGGGGGAATCTAATAAAACTAAGCTATTAATGCTATTGATATCCTATTTTTTTCAGGTTGTTTTCAAAATGCGTACATATCATATATATCACATCATTATAATAAAAACTTGCCATTTAGCTGGCATTTCAATTTTTATGTTTTTATCACCTATTTATAACTAAAAGTCCTATATTGATTAAGACTATATATTTAACATTGTGTGACGTTGTAGAATAAGCTCCGAACAGATGATAAGGTTGGGTTGAACCACAAGGTCGGTGGTTCAAACCCACCACCCACCCCTCAGAAGCCCTATATAGGGTCGTTATGAGTTGGAACCAACTCAACAGCACTTAACAACAACAACAACAACATAATAAAGGAGTCCTGGTATAGTGCTGTAGGATAAGCACTAGCCTGTAATCAAAAGGTCAGTGGTTCATACCCACAAATCCACAAAGGAGAACTAATAAGACTAAACTCACTTCTAAAACAGAAATCATACAGGCAAGAAGACAATGGGATAACATATATAAAAGTCTGAAAGAAAAAAATTACCAACCAAGATTCATATATCCAGCAAAATTGTCCCTCAAACATGACAGCAAATTTAGAACATTTTCAGATAAACTAATTAAAAGAATTTATAAAAACCAGACCAACCTTTAAAAATAGTAAAGGGAGTTCTTTTGACAGAGAGTCAACAACAGCAGATAAGCCTAAGATTACCATATATGACAATAGCACCCAGAACTCAAACTCACAGGTTGAGCTCCTCATATTGGAAGGCACTCAAAATATGACTGGGGAGGAGTTGCCTCCTCAAAGTAAAATTGACCATAATGATGTGAATGGAATAACGCTTTGGGGACCTTCATTTGCTAACGGGCACAACACAAAATAAGAAAAAACAACTACAAATATCCATTAATAATTGGAACATGGAATTATGAAGTATGAATCTAGGAAAACTGGAAGTTATTAGAAATCAAATGGCAATCATAAAGAGCAATCTATCCTAGGCATTAATGAGTTGAAATGGAGTGGTATTGGCCATTTTGAGTCTGATAATCATGTAATTTACTATGCCTGGAACAACAAACTGAAGAGGAATGGTATCATAGTCACCATCAAAACGAGCATTTCAAGATCTGTCTTGAAGCACAATGTTGTCTGTGATAGGGAATGCGATGGGCCCATACAATAAACCCTGCTCTTCTAACAAGATTTATGGTTCGAGCCCACCAGCCACTCCTCAGGAGAAAGATGAGGTTTCTGCTCCTGCAAAGATTTAAAGCCTCAGAAAACCTATATAGAGTTGCTATGAGTTGGAACCAATTTCATGGCACTTCGACAACAACAAGATAAGGAAGACCAGTTAATAGAACCATTATCTAAATTTACACCCAAACCACTAAAGCCTGTGATGATGAAATTGAAAACTTCTACCAACTTCTTCAGTCTGAAATTGATTAAGATGCATTGATCATTACTGGTGAGTAGCATGCAATGGTTGGAAACAAAAAGGAAAGATCAGTAGTTGGAAAACACGGCCTTGGAAATAGAAATGTTGGAGATCACATTATAGAATTTTGCAAGACCAACAATTTACACATCTCAAATACCTTTTTAAACAACATAAAAGATGACTATCGACATGGACCTCACCAGATGGAATTCACAGAAATCAAATTAACTACATTTGTGGGAAGAGACAGTGGGAAAGCTCAAAATCACCAGCCAAAACAAAGCCAGGGGCAGAGAGTGGAACAGACCATGAAAGGCTTCTATGCAAGTTCAGGCTGAAGCTGAATAAAATTTCAACAAGTCCATGATAGCCAACATATAACCTGGAACATATCTCACATGAATTTAAAAGACCATCTCAAGAATACATTCGATGCATTAGACACTAATGAATGAAGACAAAAGGGGTTGTGGAATGACATCAAGAACATCATAAAGGAAGGAAGCAAAGGATCATTTAAAATATCCTAAAGAAAGAAAAGACCAAAATGGATGTCAGAAGACACTATAAAACTTGCTCTCCAGTGTGGAGAAACTAAAGCAAATGGAAGAAATGAGGAGGCAAAGAGTTGAATAGAAAAATTCAAAGGGCAGATAAAGAAGACAAAGTATTATAACGCAATACGCAAAGACCTGAAGTCAGAAAACCAAAAAGGAAGAACACAATCAGCTTTTCTCAAGATGAAAGAATTGAAGTAAAAATCCAAGCCTCAACTTAAAATACTGAAGGACCCTATGAACAAAACATTGAAAGATGCAAAAAGCATCAAAAGAAAATGGAAGGAATGCACAGTCACCGTACTGAAAAGAAACAGTCATGTTCAACTATTTCAAGATGTAGCATATGATCAAGAACTAAAGGCAGAAGTCTGAGCTGCACTGAAGGCATTCACAAAAAAACAAGGCTCAAGGAATTGATGGAATGCAAACAAATCTTTCAACAAAATGATGCAGCACTGGAGGCGTTTACTCATCTATTTCAAGAAATTTGTAAGACAGCTACCTGGCCAAACAACTGGAAGAGATCCATGTTTGGGCCCATTCTAAAGAGATGTGGCCCAATAGGATGAGTAAAGCAATGAGTAGTATTATTAATAAGACATGTGAGGACATTTTTGCTGAAGATAATTTAAAAACAGTTGAAATAGTATATTGACATCATTCAACTCATAGCAACCCAGTATTGGGATTCTGAGGAGCTGCTGGTGAACTTGAACTGCCAACCTTGCAGTTTAAACCAACCTTGTGGTCCAGTGCTTATCCTACAGTGCCACACCAGGACACTCTTTCTCTCTCTCTCCTCTGGTAGCATAGTGGTTACGAATTGGGCTGCTAATCTCAAAGTCAGCAGTTCGAAACTACCAGTGGTTCCGCAGGAGAAAGATGAGGCTTTCTGCTCATAAAAATTTACAGCCTCAGAAACCCTGTACAGGGTCGCTATGAGTCGGAACCGACTCCACGGCACTTAACAACAACAATATATATTGTTAAGTGCCATCGATTTAGTTTTGATCCACGGTGACCCTGGATAGGGTTTCCGAGGAGTGGCTGGTGAGCTTGAACCACCGATCTTGAGGCTCAAACTGACTTTGCAGTCCAGTGCATTAACCCAAAGCACCAGGACTCCATATACACATACACAAAAAATGAAGCACAAATCATTCCTCCCACAACTCACTCTATACCTAAATTAGGTTCAATAATCCCTTGCAAGGACTACATAGAATTTAGAGACAATACTCAGTCTCACAGTTATGGAGTTTATTAGGGAAGTTTACAAGTTACAACATAGGATCGGAAAATGCTCTGAGCACAGCTGTTCCAGCCAGCTGCTAATAGAAGTCGGAACCAACTCCATGGCCCTCCACCAGATATCCTTTAGTCACCTAGTCCGAGTTGTTGACTTTGGCTGGCAAATGGTAGGAGCAGTTCAGTTGGGGGTGCGCATGAGGGATGATGTCAGGGTCATTAGGGATTGTTAGACATTCTTGGGGAGGTCTGAAGAGGCCAGGATTTAGTCAAAATGACTTAATTGGCACTTATTTCCATGAAATAATATATAAATGGAATAATGAGAGAAGAGATTGGATGGCGGCAGGAAATCGCAAAAAGACTAGGTTATACACAGCTAGACATGAGATGACAATGCTGAGAGAAGGGTGATAAAATAGGCTCAGAAAAGACAAGCGTTTGAGAGAGTCATAGGAACTGTGGCAAGATATGGCACCATATTAAACCTAGTGGTTAAAACTTAATAAAGCTTGAAGACCACCAAAGAAGATGAGATTCCGTAGAAGACAGAAAGTGGGTACTGCTGGCCATTAAGGCGAGACTACCCCTGGGAGAGAGAGTGCTAGGTAGAACTACAAATTCAGTCTTCTCATGTTTAATTTTAGGTAAAGGCCTAATACCAAGCTGAAGACACTCTTTAAATAGCTACAAAATCATATTACAGAATATTTCTAATACATTCAGAACATCAACCAACCAGCTTACAATTTAGTTGATTTAAGGGCTTCTGCTCATCAACAATGATATGTTTTTAAATAAAACCCCAAACCAAACCACTGTCATCAAGTCAATTCCTACTCATAGCAACCCTGTATTCTCTGAGACTGTAATCATTATAGGAGCAGGCAGTCTTGTCTTTCTCCCACAGAGCTGCTTGGGGGTTTGAACCGCCGACCTTGTGGTTAGCAGTGCATTGCTTATCCTACATTGCCACTAGGGCTCCTTATGTGTTCAAATAGTGACCAAGAAAACCATGAAGACTCCAGCTGCATCTAGAATGTATATTAATGAATTAATGAATTATAAATTAAGACAGAAAAGTTGGAGTATTTCATCTATATGCTTAATATATAAAATGATTTTATAGAGAATAGCTACCAAATTCTCTACAAAGAACATCATTAGAGACAGACTGTTCTGTTATATATCATTTTTCTGGCTTAGACAGTATCACATGTTTGTTATATAAATTTAAAATAATACTTTTCACCCTGTGAATCATAGTTAAAGCTTTTTTCAAACTCTTACTGTCAATTTTCTTGTCTGATTAACACATTATAAAATGATCAAAGAAAACTGGGACCTTTTTAAATATAGCCACTGATTACAAGTCAACTTTAAATTTAAAAAGACTTACCACATTTTCCTTCATCCTTCTCAGCCTTTCATCTATCTCTTTCAGTCTATTTTGCTGATCCCGTTGTTCCTTGGTGTTCCGAAGTACTTTTTCTCCAGGATTTATTTCCATATTTCTGCCTTCATCCTTAAGGATAGGTTCCTAATTAAAAGTTGTTTTTTTTTTAAAGTCATTTATAGGCTGGAAATATTCTGTCATACACTATTCCAAAGCAGCTAAGCCTTGAGTGTTGGTTTTGGTTCTCAAACAATTATTTCTTCCCTTTAAAATGGCATTTATAACTCATCTGTCCTGGTGTACTGTTGTGGGTTAATGCGGCGTTGGACTGCAAAGTCGGTTTGAACCTCAAGGTTAGCAGGTCAAGCTCACCAGTCACTCCTCGGAAACCTTATTCAGGGTCACCATGGGTCGAAACTAACTCGACAGCCCTTAACAACAACAACATTCAAGGATGACATGGTTTAGCTGTGCATTAAACAAATCGGGAAACGAAGTCAGCTTCTGCAATCATCAGGAAAGCAGACATAGTGGCCAGGAAGCAGACATCTGAGTTCCTGTCTTATCAGCTTGGAATCTTAAGCAAATCACAAGTCCTCTAATCTTCAGTTTCCTCAGATAATATGTCTATCCATGTTCTGTGAGGTAGTTCTGTAATAATGGGACGAGACCTAGGTTTGGCAAAGTCAGAAGTTTTGAAGCAAAACTCCACCTGGTTTCCCATTAAATCACCTCAGGGAAATTCATGAACTTTTCTGAGTTTCATTTTCAGCATCTATAAAATGACACTAACAAGAATAGATCTGAAAAAAAAAAAAAAAAAAAGAAAGTCATTGCAGTACCTTGTTGCTGTGGCTAAGTGCCATCGAGTTGGTTCTGAACCATAGCAGCCCTGTATAAAGTGTTTCTGAGGAGCAGCTGAGGCATAGGAGGCAAGAAAAAATCCTCAGCATCTAACAAATGTGAGCTGAGTATGTAGTTAAAGTCCTTTGACATAAGCACTGGACTGCTAGCCACAAAGTTGGCAGTTCAAACCCACCACCAATCTTCAGAAACTCTGTACAAGGTTGCTATGAGTCAGGACTAAATCAACAGCACTTAATAACAACAATACGTATGTTTATAGAACCATGTTCTCCCAATGTTAATGCTATTTCTAGGTGATAAAAGAAGGTATTTCTCCACAGTAAGTCAGTCCTATGTCCCGGTGTGCTGCTGGAGGATAAGCACTGGATTTCTAACCACAAGGTCGACAGTTCAAATCCACCAGCCAGGAGTCGGAACCGACTCAGCAGCATTTAACAACTACATGTCTAAAACTTAACAAATGTTCTAGACTTTTTTTCAAACACATCTTCTCTGCTGTTGCGATTGGTACAACTGACCGGTGTTGAAGGTGCTCAAACCCACACCCTCTCACTCCCTCAATGCTCATATACAGTGAGTCACCAAGAATTGTCACCAGTCTACTTCCTAACAGCTCTCTAACCAAGGTCTGTCTTTCCTTCTCACTGCCTTACTTTATACCTCCTCATCACTTGAGCCAGAAGTTTTCAAACTACAGAGTCTGCAGAAAAATACAAAGACCCAGTCCATGCATCAAAGATCCAGATTTAACAGGTAAGGCTGGAGACTGAAAACCTGAAATACACTATGTGAAAAGTTGAAAACTATATAGTGTGGCGCTGTGGCATAAAGCACTGGACAGATGGTCAGTTTGAGCCACAAGGTTGGTAGTTCAAACTCACCAGCCGCTCATTGGAAACCATATGCAGGGTTGCTATGAGTCAGAACCAAATCGACAGCACTTAACAATAATAACATAGAGACTTAAGTTACTCCTTGAGACTCCAAAGTGGTCTCTGTGCTACCAGTCTCCCCAGTATAGGCAGCTGTGTACTTTTAAAAAAGTCACTTTCTTCCTTTTGGGTCTCCATTTCTTCTGGTAAAGTTTTTTACAACTCTAGTGTACTAGAGTTATGAATCGGGCTGCGAACCACAAGGTCAGCAGTTAGAAACTATCAGTAAATCCCGTAAAGATTTACAGCCTCAGAAACCCTGTACAGGGTCGCTATGAGTCGGAATCGACTCCACAGCACACAGCAGCAGCAGCGTAGTGGTTATGAATCAGGCTGCTAATCTCAGGGTCAGCAGTTTGAAACTACCAGTGGGTCCACGAGAGAAAGATAAGGCTTTCTGCTCCCGTAAAGATTCACGGCCTCAGAAACCTTACGCAGCGTGACTAAGAGTCAGAACTGACATAACCATCAACCATCAACCAGTAGTCTGTAAGTATGTAATTTTCTATGTTGTTGTTGTTGTTAAGTGCCGTTGAGTCAATTCCAACCCATAGCGACCCTGTATAGGGTTTCCAAGAAGCAGCTGGTGAACTTGAATGGCCGACCTTGCAGTTCAAATGGCTTTGAAGTCTAGCACATTAACCCACAGCACCACACCAGGATTTTCTATAGTTGGGTACAAAAGATAGGTAACATCTTTCCTCACTCATGAAGTCTGAGAGCACCACCATATAGTTCAAATACCCGACGACTATATTTTATGAAAGCAAAGGCCAAGAGGGCGCCAGAAAAAGTTGTTACTGATTCTGACAAAAACATATCGGTGGCATATTCAAGAGGCTCTGTGATTCCAGGAGAGGTTCTGTTTTCACATCGAAGTGCCAAGCAGTACGGTTCATTTTCATGACTATCTGTAAATACCTTGACTCTCAGTATCATCACTGTTTAAGCAGACCTTTAACCACACCATTACTCTATCATCTGTGTGTTTCTCAGTCACACAGGAATGTTTCTACGGACAGGACAGTAAAAGCTCTCCCTGATGGAAACCATAAGGAGGAAGCGAGCTAACTGCTGTTCCAAGGAAGGGAATGCAACCATTGAGAGGAAGGAAACAAAGCACATTATTTGTTGAATGTAAAACTGATGCTCTTGTCTTTCAACCTTCACTCAATTCACAATAAGGAGTTAAAATTAAAAAAAAAAAAAGTCTCCCCGATATGCACTGAATGTCTAAGGAGCCAGAAGAACAGAGCCGTCCTTAAGGGCAATAGCTATTTGCTGAGTCCACTAATTAATTCCCAAGAGATTCTAAATTCATCCTTAGAAAAATATCTGTGGTGTTGGCAAAGCTAAATAACCTCATTTACAAAAGACAAATACAAAGGAAATTGCTCAAAGCTTCATAAGTTATCTGATATGCAAATGGACAGTAAGGTCAATTTGAACCTCAAGGTCAGAGCTCAAACTCACCAGTGGCTCCTCCGAAACCCTATACAGGGTCACTATGAATTGAAACCAACTGAACAATAAAGGGACGAACTATAAAAAGACAAACCTGCTTAAATAAAGTCAGCTTGTCAAGCATTTTAAGACTTTTACTATACATTTCCACAGGCTACTGCTATTTCTTATCATCAGATCATTTGCCTGGTAGTACTTAAAGTGGGGGGGGGGAATTCAGGGAGATTATTTTAACTATCTGGGAATACTGACATGACATGAAAGAAACTTTGACTACACAGGAAGCTTAATATAGAAAAACAAAGAGATATAAGTATAAACTTCAAAGTAATCTGCAAAACATAGGTGGCATGAGGAATTTCCCTGATTTAACTGGCAATGGTTGACAGGTTAGCATTTGAGACAAAGACTTCTTATTTACTCTCCATCCCAGAATCCCATGCTCCTACTGTATACTTGTGCAATTTTCGGAAATGAGCAAATGGTCAAGAAAATTTCTGTGCCCATGGCTAGTTGTCTTAGTTTCTTTTCTGGAGCTGCTGTTACAAAATATCACAAACTGGCTGGATTTAAAGAAAAGAAATGCACTGCCTCACAGTTGTGGAGGCTAGAAGTGTGAATCTGGGACAGAAGCCGGTTATACTGTCTGTGTCAGCTCCCGGTGAAAAGCCTTGAAAGATCATCTCTTTCGACTTTCAGTTGTTGTTGTTTTTGTTGTGAAGTGCCATCAAGTCAGTTCCAACTCATAGTCCCTGTTATAGGGTTTCCAAGAAGCGTCTGGTGAGTTTAAACTGCCAAATTTTAGTTCAATCCTACAGTGCCACACCAGGACTCCAACCCATAATACTAGCAAACATAAAAAAGTTCTAGATTCCTGTTCTCAACTGCTAAAGTAAGTTCATTTTGGGTAAAATGTACTCCTTTGTTATTAATTGTTGTTAAGTGCCGTCGAGTCGGTTCCGACCCATAGCAACCCTATGTAGGGTTTCCAAGGAGCAGCTGGTGAGTTTGAACTGCCAACCTTGCAGTTCAAACAGCTTTGCAGTCTGGCGCATTAACCCACAGCACCACGATGTACAAAGCCCTGAACTCGACAATAAAACATCTTTCAGGATTACATGTTACCCAGTGTTCTACGTATCCTCAATTTGAACTCATGCTGAGACAAGAAGAGACTCCACGAAACAGTTCATTGTTGCTATCAGCAATCATATGCTCTTGGCAAGAACAGAAACGAAGACATACAACTACAAACTTCCTCAATCATGTTTGCTACTTCTTTGTACAACTGAATCAATATTTTAAGAAAAAAATAATCAAATTAATGAGGAACTTTATATTCAATATATTAAACTTGTGAGTTCAAGAACAAAGAAATCCCTCCTGTCAATGAGAACCATTTCTGAAGACCCCACCCTACCCTATCCCATCCACCACCCCCCCAAAAAAAAAATCTAACCATGAACAGGAATTCTAGATTTAGTAAGACTGATTGCATGAAAGATGAATAAATTATACTTCTTTACAAGAGCCAAACTGAAATGAATTTATTATTGAATCCAGTTGCTAGGGATTTAAGAGACTGAATGCTTACATAACTCCTAGATCCTAAGTATTTTTGAAGAAAGCTGGAATCTAATACATCTACAAACAAGAAATATGGTAACTAAATTAGGGAACATCACTCAATTTTATGGTAGGATTTACAATGCATGGAAAGAACTAAGTGATAGGCTGGAGAACTGGAGGATGGATCAGAAAGGTATGCACAGTTCAACCACGTTTCTTAAGGAAAAAAAAAATTGCTTCAATTAGTTCTCCTTTGCTAAGATGAAATGAAAATAAAAAGCAGATGTAAAAACTGCAACCCCATGATGCTAG